GATTTCACAAAATGACGTTGAATCGAAGGAAGAGGAAAGAAATTGAGGAGAAGACTTAGCAAAATTAGAGAGAACCCATTAGGGTTTCTTGGAAAGAAGGAGCTTCCAACGGTTATAAAATAGGGGTATCCTCTACCCATTATCTCAACCCACATCCAGAGATAGCAAGCATCACCTCTTATCCTTAGAACTCTTCAATTTTGAGTCATATTCCTCCGTCTCTTCCCATCTTCTCCTTTGGCAAACCATTCCAGAGCCTGACGAACCATTCGTCAAGCTGCCAACAAATTACCTAAAGCACCCATTCTTCCACCATAATCTCTGTCTCTCTCTCTCCTAAGCAAATCCTCACGAAATCCTTTGCTTAAATCAACCTTTCTTTCTTGTAGAAAGCCTGGTCTTTCTCTCTGTCATGCTAAACTCATAAATGCTTAGCTTACATGTCACAAGCTTCTCAAGCCAAGCCAAGAATTTATCTGTAAGCAACTGTTGGTTTCATTGGTGAAGAAGACCAAGGTGTTTCCTAAGGCTCAGCTACCCTTTCAAAGCACTCTTAAGGTCTGATTCTTGAAATCAAACTCGGGGCAATTTCACACATTTGACTCTTTACAGTGGCCCAGACCCATCAGTAGCTGCTGGAACAAAAAAGCCCCTACAATAATGAAGGCACAAATGAAGATTTACATAACTGCTTGGACAAAACAAGAACATGACTGTAAAACTCACAAGTATAATCTTAAGTTATTAACATGTATGAGGGAGAGAGGAAAAATTAAATGCAATATATATGTACATATCATGACATTTGCACAAAACAAATTTGGGCTAGTACAAATCCTAACTCTAGACAAAAACAGCAAATGAATTCACACAATCACGATCACCTCCTCAGTAAAGTTTCTACATTTATAAATGAATTTGATAAATAACCTATAACATACAATGCATCCAACACTGTATCACCAAATTACATAGCTAGGGGGGACTTCTGTTGTTCCAGCTGAGTTTTTAGATGCTTTTAGTTAAGATTAATCTACAATACAAATAGCATACTTCTCATTACATAAGTCATATGTATAAAAAGGGAACTAGACATTGAAGAAGACGAAAGGCAAATTCAACTCTAAAATGAAACCCAAAACCCTTGGCAATTAAGAAGCATGAAATCTGCAAAAATAAGCTTGATAGGACCATAATTGATTTTGAAATATATGATTTTTGCGATTCTTTCTATTCTTGGCGTCTGAAGATTGTTTAACGCGATTTTTGATATTTTGCTGTATTTTAGGCTATCTGATTTCTATCTTAGGGGCAAAATTGGAAGCACAACATAAAAGAAAAAAACTAAGAAAATAAAATATAAACCTTAGAATTTAAAAAAAGTTAAGTAATCCTACATGGCACAAAAGTCAAAGGACTTGAATTACTAACAACAAATGTGTGGATTGCACTCAAATTCTGTCATAAGAATTGGACTTATACCAAACATACACTACTGGTAGTACATCACATCACATTTCATTTTCCTTTTGCATGTTTAATTGGAATTTTCGCTGTAGAAATATTGGCATGTAGTTGAATTGAAAGTATCATTTTGTGTACATGGAATATACCTCTTGGCCAACTGTCTCTTATACCCTTTTAGATTTGAATGATTAAAAGGAGTGTTATTGTGTTCCACATATAATGTTTTAACTCATATTATTGGGTTGAGAAAGGGACCACCCTACTTGCATCCGATGCCTTGATTGTATGAAGGTCTGTTAATGAACATTGAAATAAGATGTCATGATTTGCACTATATGATGCCTTAATATTATAGAGGCACGAAAGATTTTTAAAAAAATCTTATTCACCAAATGACGTGACATATGATATATTTTAATTTTGTTAAAATTTATAAATTTCTATGCGAGCTTCGATAAAAGTGGTTGAAATTCATTTTGGCATCAGAATCATTTCTCCTTTGTCTAATTTTTCAATAGTCAGAACAATTATGATTTAGATACTTCAATGTTTTTGTCTACAAGGAAAAACCCAAAACCCCGCACATAGCACTTAGGCCTTTCGACCAAAACAAAACAAAAAGTATTTACGCCTAAACTGGGGAACCCTTCCTATTTTAGATAGACTGCACTTCAATGGCGTGGACTGAACAAGTAGATGGACTTCAGACCCAAAAAAAACAAAGAACAAGTAGTTTTGCAGTAGGTCCTCCCTATATAATTGATTTGGCAAACATCACTTTTCACATAATTACAGCCCTAATGTCTTGCTAACAATGCTAGGAACGATTAATAATTTCTTGAAAAGATGCCCTATGATGGGCAGTTGATTTGAAAGACATGATGGCTAGTCCATGCATATACTTTTTTGAAATGAAATTGCATGCAGCAAAGCAAGCAATTTAATTGTATAAGGAAAATTCCTACATCAAATTGAGTAGTTTAATTGTAAAAAATAATTGCACCTATGGGCTTTGTTAAGTTGACTAAAATGAATGTACACCTCATTTTGCATCCGAGTTCAAATTTATTCTCCTATAATATAGATTAAATTAAAGTTGAATATTGTTTGTATAAAAAATAATAAATTAAGATAGCCGACACTCAAATACAATTGCACGAGTCTATTCATATAGGAATGGTTCTTAGTCTATTCATATGGAAAAACCATATGCTTTAAGTAGAAAAAGTCTTAAGGCCTCTTTTGTCCCCATAGAGATTCTTTTAATGCAAGAAAATGTTGTTAGTGAAAGCCTCGCATGTGGCTTGGCATCTCACTACATGTTAAAACTTGCCTCTATCACAAAATAGCGTTTTCTTGATCCTTTTCTCCTTAAAAGTTGAATACTTTTGGCTACAGATTAAGTCAGTGATTGCAGTGCCCTACTTGGGTCTGAATGTAAAGGAAGGAAGTGACTCAATTCCTCCCTTTTGTTTGTGGTGAATTTGACACTGATCAAGTTGGAGTTTGGAGTTTGGAGAGACCTCAATTCAATGTGCATCTTGACAATTTGACAAATTAATTAATTATGCACAGAGATTAATAGTTTTATATATCTTTAGTTGGTACCACAAAGAAAGGTACGAGAAAAAATAGCAAGACTTTTAAAACAAAAAATTATCTTATTTCGTATAATAAAAAAGTCCCTTTGTGCAATCAAGATATGAATGAAGCACATGAGCCAACAGATAAGCATCATCTTGATTAAAACATGATAAATAGGAGCTGGCAAATTTAGTATTATTATTTTAGGGTTTAGGGAGATATAACCCAGTGGAAAATGACATTGACTTGTAGATCAATTGTCTCAGGTTCGAATTTCAATGACATATTACAATATGTGTGTGAGAAAACCCTCCCTCAATATCGTTTGTATAAATAAAAAATAAAAAAATTAAAGCACGTAACTAAATAAAAATAAAAAAGACAAAAATATACAAGAAACTAGGCTAAAACCTAAAATTGGAAGACACCTTATTTTGGTAAAAATGGCTCAATTAATGCATTATGTAATTTCCCAACATTCATTTCAGGAGGGCCATGAAGTTATGAACCTAACAAGTTCTCTCAATATTGTACAGAATTAAATAATAAATAATTTGGTATAAGTCCAATTTTTATTATAGAGAAATTATAGAATAATACAGTACTACCACGTTAGCGTATAGTACTCCCACTTAAATATGGCCATGTGTCCATTTTATAAAAGAAATTAATTATTATTTTACAGCTAGACTTTTTACTTTATTAATTCTTAAGTTTTGAAATAAAATTAGAAAAAAGAATACTTAAACGAAGAAAAACCATGGCAGCCACCCTTCTCCCTTCCTCTTCCTCCCCTCTCTCTTTCTATTCACCACTGCCATCACCGCTCTTCATGAAGACCATCAACATCCAAACCCAATAATATCATCATCTTCCTTAATTCCCCTGTATATATATATATATATATATATATATATTTAAATTATTATTATTTTTTAAATTCTCTCATGACACTCTACACAATGTTAATTCCACCACCAGCTGCCACCTTGGAATATCTTCAGACCCAGATGTAGACCCTCAAGAAAGAACCAATTTTTAATTATCAAGACTACTCCATTTCATCATCATCAATACCCCTTCCTCTAAAGCCCCTCGTAAACAATTGTACACGATCAGGGATGAAGATAGGGGTGGTCATCATAGCAAGTAGTTGGGATTAGGGTTGGTGTTGGGTTAGGAGATAGTTGGCTGTTAGGAATTTCTTTATTCTTTTTCTTTTTTCCTAATTTTATTTCAAAAGTTAAGAATTAAACTAAAAAGTCCAATTGTGAAACGATAATTAATTTCTTTCCTAAAATGGACATGTGGCTGTATTTGAATTGGAGTACTATACGCTGACGTGGTACTACCATATCATTCTATAATTTCTCCAATAGAATTTGGGTGCAATCCACACATGTATTGTTAGTAATTCAAGTCCTCTTCTAATGCCACATAGGATTACATTCCTTTTCTAATTTTATGATGTATTCATATATATTATTTCTTTTTACATTTATTTTCATGTTCCAATTATGCCCTTATGATTTAAATCGGGAAGACTGATTTATATCATAATAATTTGCTAATTAATACAACTATTGATTCTGATTGCAATTCATAAACGGGTAAGAAATTAATTTTAGGCCAATAATTACTGTATTTGATCTTTTAGTTAATTATGATTTGAATTTATAAAATATTTTCTTGTCTATCCATTTTAATTTTGAAAATCCCATAAACATGCCCTAATAAAATAAATAAATAAATAAATTTCCTATAATCTTTCTTCTTCTTTTTCTTCTTACAGTCCTATGGTATAATTATCTATGGACTAGGAATATACATGAATGTTAATTAGGTATGGATAGGTAAATTACCTATAGAGGAGGTATACACATGAATGCTAGTTATCTATGGAGGAGGCATATATTAATTACCTATGGAGGAGACATATGATATGAAATTACCTATGAAGAAGGTATACACAAACCTGCAAAGCAGGTAAATCAAACCACCCAAAGACATATATACCTCATCATAAGGTATTCAAAGATTGAAAGCGTTTGATAAATTGAGATTAATTGTAGAAATGTGATATTAATTTATTGATTGCAGTAATTAATAAAATTTAGAGAATTGACTGTACAATGGCAATATGTGTAAATGTTTTAAAAATAATGGCCAAGGCTTTGCATACTTGGCTGGCCTGTTGAGTCGCTAGACCCAATTCTACATCAAAAGAGAGGTAAACTGCATTTATAGTGCAAACTCAAAATTGAACCTATATCGAAACATCCCATTAAATAATTGGGGGGCATGGACATCACAAATTGATCACAACTAACTTGTAGGCGCATGCAAGTTGCAATGCCAGCTTCTCTATATAAAGAAGAAGAAGAAGAAGGGCACATATATTAATTTAATGTGAGCAGCCAAAAGAAAAAGGCAAAAAGTGGAACAATGGCTGCATTATCACTTTTCAATGAAATGTGGCAACCACTTCAGAGCAATATTTTCCTGCTTCCTCTTCTCTTGCTTTCTGCATACATTTTATTATCACTTACAAGATCATCTTCAAGTGGGAAAAACTACAAACTGCCACCTTCCCCACCAACACTGCCTCTGATTGGGAACCTTCACCAGCTAGAAAAATTCCCACACCGCTCTCTTCGTGATCTGTCGAAGAAGTATGCAAGGGTGGAAGAATGTGCAGAGCTGGCCCACCCACCACCACAATTCCTGGTGACTTTGTTTTAGAGCAGATGCAAGAATTTTTGCACAATTCTTAAAATCTCAAGACACAGAATTAGAGAAGAAGCTGAAAGCAATAAATCACTTGGAGTTAGACTTACCATTGCCTTCCTCAAATGTTAAGCCACTAGAGGTAAGCCCTCCCTTCTCTTTCCCACCCTTTGATTCACTGGCACCACTTCCCTTGCCTGGAAATGTCCCTCTTTCTCCTAACTGTGCAAATCCACCATTTTCCCAAAACCCACCTCAACCAAATACTCCTTCATCTTCCTCCTCCCCTTCATCATCTGCACCCACTTGCTCACCCATCCCAAAACCACCACCTGCAAATGAGCCCACCCCTCACCCACCTGGCCCACCCACCACAATTCCAAGCCCACCCAAAAATCCTCCATCCCCACCCAAGCCTGTCCCAGGCCCACCAGCCTTGGCCCCACCTGTAGCTTACCCTCCACCATCAGGACCCACAAGCCCTCCACAGCAAAAGCCACCACAGTCTGGGGCGGTGTGGTGTGTGGCCAAGCCCGCAGTGCCTGGCCCAATAGTCCAAGAGGCCCTGGACTACGCGTGTGGGTCTGGTGCAGACTGCAAGTCAATCCAGCCCAATGGGTCCTGCTATAAGCCAGACACATTGTTGTCCCATGCTTCGTACGCCTTCAACAGCTACTGGCAGAGCACCAGGGCTGCTGGTGGCACTTGTGATTTTGGAGGGACTGCCATGATTGTTACAGTTGATCCAAGTAGGTCCAAATTTTGCCCATTCTTATATAGTTTTTAAAATAAATCCTCGTCATATAATTATAATATATAGTTTCGACTTCGAAGAAATAAAATTGATATAAGAAATTAATTGAGCTTGACAACTGCAGCATTGGATACACAACACGCATGCTATATAGATATGATCTGACAAACTAAATGTTTTTTTTTCTTCTTCTTTTTCTTCAAACGACAAACTAAATGTTCGGAAGAAAATATCGTGTCTTTGCTGAAGGCATCAAGAAGTTGGTGATGTTAATCAATTAATTGATTGATTATGATATAAACAATGGACACATATAGGGGGAACAGGAAAAAGAACTAATATAAAAGTGAAGTAAAAAAGAAATCAATGTAAGGTAAGGATAGAATAGGAAAAAGAAAGAAAAAAATTGATTAAAAAGTATTAAAAAGCAAAAGGGAGTGTAAGTAAGTGGAGAAAAATGGAGTGGGGAAATCAATGTTTTACTTTGATCTAATCTAAATTATGATGAGGGGGATTTGAAATCGGGTGCAGAGTGAAAGAAGCACATTCACTCTAGCCAACTTGGCTAAGCCTATGTTTGTCAGCAAGTTGCATTTTGATTGGACCTACAAATCCATATTCATTTTATAAAAAAAAATTAGACCTCAGATTGGAAATAATTCTTATATGAAGTGAGATTAATATGCTAAGCTGTAAGCTCCCACCGAAATAATAAGAATCCACAGATATGTTTATGCATTCACACCGAAAATACTATTTATCTTTCTTACTTGATGTAGTGAGCAATAATAATAGTACTGGTTTAGATTTGGTTAAAGATTTGGGGACAAAGTAGTCTTAGCCTGACCCTACATATATTACATCGGCTTTATCTCCCTTTAAATTTATATGTCGCTTTGCACAAGTGACTTCATATCATTCTAATGGTGGCAGGTTTTGATGGATGCCATTTCTTCTACAATGGATGACTCATCAACAGATCAAAAAAACTTGATTCCGACACTTCGAAAATAAGGACAACAAACTCAATTTCTGGTCTCTCAGAAATGAATTTTCTTTTCTTTTCTTTCTATCCAAACAGACACTACAGCTGGTACATCACATTTCATTTCCCTTTTGCATGTTTATTTGGAATTTGGAATTTGGAATTTTCGCTGTAGAAATATTGGCATGTAGTTGAAAGTAACATTTCGTGTACATGGAATATACCTCTTGGCCAGCTGTCGCATATACCCTTTTAGATAGAATGATTAAAAGCGGTGTTATTGTGTTCCACATATTATTGGGTTGGGAAGGGGAAAAAATCTACCACCCTACTTGCATCCGATGCCTTGATTTGATTGTATGAAGGTCTGTTAATGAACATTCAAATAAGATGTCATGATTTGCACTATTTTATGCCTTAATATTGTAGAGGCACCGGAAGATTTTTTATTTTTATTTTTAAATCTTATTCACCAAATGATGTGACAAATGACATATTTTAATTTTGTTAAAATTAATAAATTTCAATACGAGCTTCCGATATAAGCAAATGAAATTTTATCGGTCGAAAGTGATGTTGAAATTCATTTTGGCATAATCATTACCCCTTTGTCTAATTTTTCAATAGTCAGAACAATGTAGATTATTTAGATACTTCTATGTTTTTGTCTACAAAGAAAAACCCAAAACTCGGCACATAGAACTTGTTACGCCTAAACCAGGACACCCTTACCGTTTTAGATAGACTACACTTCAATGGCGTGGAGTGAACAAGTACATGGACTTCATACCTAAAAAAGGCAAATAACAAGTAGATGGGTTCCACACAGAGTTTTTTTGCAATAAGTCCTCTTTATATGATTGAGGGGAATGCTAACAATCTTCTCTCTAACATTTTTTTTTGGGCCTTCTCCCTTTACCTTTTGACAAGTATCTCTCTTTTTATACTTAAAACAATATCATTAATATATCATACAAGTTGACTTTTACTTTACAAGTTTACCCTTATTATGAAAAATAATTATTATTTTGTTGCACAACCTCCCTCTCTCTTTCTCTCACATTTCACGATCAAACTCTCTCTCTCTCTCTCACTCTCTCTTTCCTCCCCCTATCTCCTTTCACGATCAAACTCCCTTTCCCACCTCTCTCTCCTCTAGATCTAAGATCTGCTCCATCTCCTTCATATCTATCTCCTCCTCTTGGATCCTTATTTTCCTCATCTATCACATCTATCTTCGCCTCTATCTATGCTTCACCACCATATTCCTAGCAACTAGTGAACTGGTCAAATTTTGTTGCTAAGGATGTTCCCAGTGACGGTGGGTCGCTGGTTGTTTGTAAATTGTGATTGGGTGTGGCTGGAATCTCAATCTAGGGTTTGAAAATGTTTGAAATTGGACTGTTGTTTGGGGGAAATAAATTTGAGGACGAAGTGATGAGTCAAAGAGGAACTAATTGATGATGTAATATCGGCTATGTTTCTTTGGATTCATTTGTATTTTTTTTTATTTTCTCACAATTTTTCATTAGCATTCCCCTATAATTGATTTGGCGAACATCACTTTTCACATAATTACAGCCCTAATGTCTTGCTAACAATGCTAGGTACGATTAATAATTTCTTGAAATTATTGTGTAGCCGCATGTGAAGCCAGCATTACCCTCATTTTAAAAAGATGCCCTATGAAGAGCTGTTGATTTGAAAGACATGATGGCTAGGCCATGCATATACTTTTTTGAAATGAAATTGCATGGGGCAAAGCAAGCAAGTTAAATTGTATAAGGAAAATTCCTACATCAAATCGTGTAGTTTAATTGTAAAAAATAATTGCACATATGAGCTTAATTAAGTTGGCTGAATGTGTTTTTCACCCGAGATTAAATCCCTATTTTTTATAGTGTAGATTAAATTAAAATAAAGTATCGCTTGTTTAAAAAATTAAAAATTAAGATAGCCGACACTCAAATACAATTGCAGGGTCTATTCATATAGGAATGGTTCTTGTACTAAAAAATTGCAGGACTAGTCTATTCGGGAGAAAACCCCCAAAAAATGAAAAAAGGAAAAACCACATGCTTTAAGTAGAAAAATTGCAGCATTAATGGACTAGTCTATTCGGAAGAAAATGTTGTTAATGAAAGCCTCACATGTGGCTTGGCATCAAAACCCCAATCACGGGTTGAATAGTCACTTGCTGGGCTCTCACTACATGTTAAAACTTGCCTCTATCACAAAACCGCGTTTTCTTGATCCTTTTCTCCTTAAAAGCTGAATACTTTTGGGTACAGATTAAGTCAGTGATTGCAGTGCCCTACCTGGTTCTGAATGTAAAGGAAGGAAGTGACTCAATTCCTCGCTTTTGTTTGTGGTGAATTTGATACTGATCAAGTTGGAGTTTGGAGTTTGGAGTTTGGAGAGACCGAAATTCAATGTGCATGTTGGCAATTTGACAAATTAATTAATTATGCACAGAGATTAATAGTTTTATTTATCTTTAGTTGGTACCACAAAGAAAGGTACGGGATTGTGTTTTTGCTCTCTCTCTCTCTCTCTCTCTCTCTCTCTAGTACATACTCACTCACAACTTGTCTCACCATATCTCTATAAGAAGGCTTTTGCATGGTGTTGGGTTTCAATATCCGGTCTTAAACAACCCAACTCTTGTGAGGGTTGTGGAGTTTTGAACATGGGGAATTATACCCTGGCTTTGCTCTTAGTCCTCATTGTGAATTTGGGTAGTTTGCTCACTTCTCTTGCTAACTCCTACTGTCCACCACCAACATACCCTCCACACTTGCCACCCAAACAGCCTCCTCATGTAAAGCCACCCTTCATCCCCAAAAAAATTAAAGCACGTAACTAAATAAAAATAAAAAAGACAAAAATATACAAGAAACTAGGCTAAAACCTAAAATTGGAAGACACCTTATTTTGGTAAAAACGGCTCAATTAATGCATTATGTAATTTCCCAACATTCATTTCAGGAGGGCCATGAAGTTATGAACCTAACAAGTTCTCTCAATATTGTACAGAATTAAATAATAAATAATTTGGTATAAATTCAATTTTTATGATAGAGAAATTATAGAATAATATAGTACTACCACATTAGCGTATAATACTCCCACTCAAATATGGCCATGTGTCCATTTTATAAAAGAAATTAATTATTATTTTACAGCTAGACTTTTTACTTTATTAATTCTTAAGTTTTGAAATAAAATTAGAAAAAAGAATACTTAAACGAAGAAAAACCATGGCAGCCACCCTTCTCTCTTCCTCTTCCTCCCCACTCTCTTTCTATTCACCACTGCCATCTTCATGAAGACCATCAACATCCAAACCCAATAATATCATCATCTTCCTTAATTCCCCTATATATATATATATATATATATTAATTATTATTATTTTTTAAATTCTCTCATAACACTCTACACAATGTTAATTCCACCACCAGCTTCAACCCACTGCCACCTTGGAATATCTTCAGACCCAGATGTAGACCCTCAAGAACGAACCAATTTTTAATTATCAAGACTACTCCATTTCATCATCATCAATACCAGTTTAATCCTCCTTCCTCTAAAGCCCCTCGTAAACAATTGTATACGAGGGGTGGTCATCATAGCAGATAGTTGGGATTAGGGTTGGTGTTGGGTTAGGAGATAGTTGGCTGTTAGGAATTTCTTTATTCTTTTTCTTTTTTTCTAATTTTATTTCAAAAGTTAAGAATTAAACTAAAAAGTCCAATTGTGAAACGATAATTAATTTCTTTCCTAAAATGGACATGTGGCTGTATTTGAATTGGAGTACTATAGGCTAACGTGGTACTACCATATCATTCTATAATTTCTCCAATAGAATTTGGGTGCAATCCACACATGTATTGTTAGTAATTCAAGTCCTCTTCTAATGCCACATAGGATTACATTCCTTTTCTAATTTTATGATGTAATCATATATATTATTTCTTTTACATTTATTTTCATGTTCCAATTATGCCCTTATGATTTAAATCGGGAAGACTGATTTATATCATAATAATTAGCTAATTAATACAACTATTGATTCTGATTGCAATTCATAAACGGGTAAGAAATTAATTTTAGGCCAATAATTACTGTATTTGATCTTTTAGTTAATTATGATTTGAATTTATAAAATATTTTCTTGTCTATCCATTTTAATTTTGAAAATCCCATAAACATGCCCTAATAAAATAAATAAATAAATAAATTTCCTATAATCTTTCTTCTTCTTTTTCTTCTTACAGTCCTATGGTATAATTATCTACGGAGTAGGAATATACATGAATGTTAATTAGGTATGGATATGTAAATTACCTATGGAGGAGGTATACATATGAATGCTAGTTATCTATGGAGGAGGTATATATTAATTACCTATGGAGGAGGTATATGATATGAAATTACCTATGAAGGAGGTATATACACAAACATGCAAAGCAGGTAAATAAAACCACCCAAAGACATATATACCTCATCATAAGGTATTCAAAGATTGAAAGCGTTTGATAAATTGAGATTAATTGTAGAAATGTGATATTAATTTATTGATTGCAGTAATTAATAAAATTTAGAGAATTGACTGTACAATGGCAATATGTGTAAATGTTTTAAAAATAATGGCCAAGGCTTTGCATACTTGGCTGGCCTGTTGAGTCGCTAGACCCAATTCTACATCAAAAGAGAGGTAAACTGCATTTATAGTGCAAACTCAAAATTGAACCTATATCGAAACATCCCATTAAATAATTGGGGGGCAAGGACATCACAAATTGATCACAACTAACTTGTAGGCGCATGCAAGTTGCAATGCCAGCTTCTCTATATAAAGAAGAAGAAGAAGAAGAAGAAGGGCACATATATTAATTTAATGTGAGCAGCCAAAAGAAAAAGGCAAAAAGTGGAACAATGGCTGCATTATCACTTTTCAATGAAATGTGGCAACCACTT